ATATTAACAGTTGGTAATACTAAAAGTGCTGTGCTTTCTATAAGTAGTTTTAGTTTAATCAGTAATTGTCGAAGAGAAAATTTTCTAAGACAAAGATGACATTTCAGGCCTTCAAAGAGAAATATTAGGGAGATAGTTGGCATCTGATTAATATCACCATATGTCTTTCATTTTCAAATAAGGTTAGTTTTACTTGTCCTAGGAACAGGGTATCATTACGACAATTTTAGTGTTGGAGTCAAAGGAATTGATTAGCAATTTACACAGTTTTATAGGCTTAATGTCTAGTCATTCATAGATGTAATCTGAACAGCTAATCTGTTAAAACTGCCTTGATCTGATTTTTAAAGTTGTTACTGTTTTTAGTAAGGGACCTCTGCTTGAATGACAGCCTGAGGATATTTAGCATTCTTTCTTCAACTTTCAGACAGTCATCTATATTTCCAGAGGGTTGAGAACAGGGCAACTTGGAATTTAAAGAAGGCACCTGCATTTGCATTTCAATAGTCCCATAATTCTATGAAATCATTGAAATCTCTTCAATATGCCTCATTGTTTAAATAGTGAAGGTGGCCATATTTTGTTCAAGATTCATAAATCTTAGCAAAAAAAAAAAAGGGCCATTATATCCAAAGCCTATTCTACTGAGAATACTCTTCTCCCTTCTTATTTTTTTTAATGCTAAAATCATGTTTGTTAAAACCCATAAGCACTACATCACATCTGTATGTATTTAAAATATTTTACCTATTTGGATCTTTATAGCCTGAAATCATGGTTCTAGGATAAGATAAAGGGGAAAGGAGATTATATGGTGTAAATATATATCATAGGAGCATCATCCATTTTTAATTTGGGGTTCCAAAAATGTCTTTCTCCCCATTAAACAGAAACAAGTCCATTTTCACTTTGGAAACCAATTCCAGTTGACTAACACAGGAGATAACATCATTAGTAGACCTGTTGCCTGTGTGCAAAGATCTGCAGTTGCTCCTAATTGGCTGTGATAGTAAAGAGTGTTTGTCAAATATTTTGGTTCAAGGGAATGAATCCTGCAGTTAAAATAAGGAATTCTGTGTTCAATTACAGGGCAACTGGGTACCTTTCTGAGATGAGCCTTTGTGCCCTTCCTATAAGTAAGGATAGCATTACTCACCAAATATTGGGTTGTCGGGAAAATCATGACATATTTTTTCTATGTTTTTCGTTGCAAAAATGCGTCATGACTTTTCCGACAACCCAATAATTTTAGGCAAGGATTAAATGAAAGGGTATATGTGAAAGTTCTGTGTACCCTGTAGTCACAAGAACTGGAAGCTTATAGAGGATTGCTACAATTGTATAATGGTTGTGTCAAGTTATATTTTAGATTTTCAATCAGTACCTACAATTTTTCACATCACTCCATCCAGCTGAGACACGGAGATGAGGCAAAATATTTACAAGGTCAACACTGTGTGAAGAAATAGAGCTCTACAGAGGTGAATTCAAAATTTTGTCCTTTTTATTTTTTTTCCATCTCCTTGCCATTTCAGAACCCTTTCTTGGTGGTTTTATAACACATTTTAAAATGATCTGGCTTTTCAAAAGATACTCTCATTCCATTTTCCTTCTACGAAAATCATATGAAATACTGGGAAGCTGTTCTTAAGTCAGCCCACCTTCATGGCCCAGATAAAGTGGAAAATAATTCTCATCCTTGGTATGCTGCAGTCTCTAAAGTCTCTTCCTAGAAAACAACCCCTAGCAACCAGAAAAGATGATTTTTGACCTTGAAGATTTTAGCATTGCAAATCTAAGAATATAAGCAAGTGCATTTTCTTTTTAGTGAACTGTGAGCTTACATCCACCCCAGAGTGGTGGTCGAATGCCTTGCAGTCAGACTGGATTAGCAACGCAGAGAACTAATGGAAAGATTCTTTCTCTCCCCTAATCTGGAAGCAAAACCTATAGCCTATATTCCACAAAAGAATGATTCCAGGATAATAAAGCCATTTGCAAAGAGAGAATTCAGCAGACAGATTTAGAGAATGCAAGAGAAGTCTAAATATAGCACTAGCTTCATCAATATGTTTAACATATTGCTGCTTATGAGAGTTTAAAGAAGTGTGTGCGAGAAAAAAGTGTCTGTGTGTGCCTTTATGGGAGGGAGTACCTGAGTGTGTGAGAATGTGTTCATGACAGGAGGAGCAGCGGGGAAAGCATGAAGAGGAGTTGGAAAACCCCTTCTCTTTTTGCGCATTCCCAGGACAGCAGCCCTGGCCCCCAAAAGAGGAGGGAACGTGAGAGCAGACAGAAAGGTCTCTGCTTTGACTGATGTGAAGCGACCGCCCCGCAAGCAAAGACTTTTCTCCTTGGCAGCCAACAACCTGCAGCAGGAAAGGCGGGAGGGAGAGGAAACCCCGAGGAGGCGCTCCTGGCCGCCTCTTTGCTGAGATAGCAGGAGCAGCAGCCTGCGGAGCCACGAGCGCAGCGTCACTGAGCTGGTGCGGGAGCAGGGGCGCTCAGGCAGGCGCAGAGGCTGGGAGCCGCTCCTGCCGCCGAGGCGCCGGCGCTGCAGGACCCTAAGCTGCGCTAGCGCCCCGGGCCGGTCCCTCAGCGGCAGGAGCGGGCGGTCGCGCGCTGACCCCCATGCCTTGCCTCCAGCACCTGCCTGTCTCACCAGGGACGACAAAAGGAACCCAGAGAGCTCCGCCTGTTGTCCCGTTCTCCAAAAGCAGCCAGTGAGGGATCCGGGAGAAGGCGAGCATTTCAGTTCTCCACCGGGCTGGGATTCTTCTCTCTCACAATTTAGGAGAGCCCCGGTAGAGGTCAGAGGCGCAAGCGAGAATCTCAAAAAGGGGCCGAGGGCTGTGAACGTGGTCACCCCCTCCTGTCGCTGCAAAATACCCTTGACATTTTTCACACTTTGAAGCAGCTGCAGCTCGTGTCTTCGGAAAAGGGGGTGGGAAAAAAGAGAGGGGGCGGGGAGAGCGGGGAGACACAGCCAAGAGCCAAGAGCAGCGCCTCCTCGCCTGCCAATCCTGGCACCTGTGCGCCGAGCCACTGCACCGCGGAGGACCCCACACCGGGCGAACCTCGGGCTTGAAGCCACGAATACCCAGCCCCTGGGCAGCGGGTTCTCGCCGGAGGGACCTGCAGCCACCTACTCGTGCCACCGCTGTCGCCTGCAGCCGCGGGAGCGCACAGTCTCTCGGAGCCGCCCACTGCACCCGGGTCCCCAGGGATCCTCGCCCAGCAGAGGCGCAGCAGCGGGCAGGGGGTGTTACAGAGTTGGGTGCAGGATTCGCCTTTTCTGCTCATCTCTTCTCCGCCCAGGATTTATTGTCTGTGGAGCCTTCCGGGGGTGGGGAGAGAGCTGCGCCTCCACCACCACCGCCGCCGCTGCTGCGGTCGCTAGCGCCACGCGCACGGCAGGCGGAGGCTAGGGAGTGGATGCGCTCCTGCCACCCCCGCCAGCGCTTCGGGCTTCCCCTCCGCCGCTTCCCGCCGGAACCGCTCCAGCAGTCCACCTGAAGGGCACTGGCATCATGGTCTAGCGTGGCACCTGCCTGGAACCCCCTTTCTCCTTCTCCTCCTCCTCCACCCCCTTCTCTCCACCTCCTCCGAGAGGACCCTCGGGTCCACTCCACTGCGGACCCCCAGCACTTTAAGGAATAACCCTTGGCAGCTGCACGATTCACTCTCTCTGGAGCCTCATGGGCAGTTTCTCCTGCCGGCAATGTGAGTAGGACACGCTAGTTCCTTGGCCCACGGGGGGTGCAGGGGCCGGGGCGGGGGGGCGCTCGCCGCTTGCGTCCGCGGCACAGCGAGCCCCGAAGGTGTGGGACCCAAGCGGCCGGCGGAGTGCGGGGGTGGGAGGACAGGAGCCTTCAGCGCTCTCTCTCCGGGAGCAGCTCGCGCGGTGGCCCGCGGAGGCGGCGGGATGTGGTAGGTTGCGGGGCATTTGGAAATGGGGTGGCTGCATGGGAGCCCTAAATGGCCTGGGCTGGCAGAAGACCCTAAAGGGTTACATACTGCAAAAAGGCAAGGTAAAGAGCGAGTGCTGGGCGCCGGTGCTGAGACCATTGGTCGGTCGAGCTGAGGTTAGTCTCAGCTCCTCTTTATTATCATAGGGATCTCCAGTCAGCTTTTCCCCGGAGGTGTCTAAGGGTGAAGTGCTCTTTTGATCCACACACACACACACACACACACACACACACACACACACACACACACACACACACTTGTGGCCGGTCGAGATTGTCCCTTTATCTTGGAAGGTGTAGTATTGCTGTTGGATGTCTATTTGTCTGAAAAAAAATACAATTAGAAGATCTTTTTGCCATTGAGGATTGAAAGGAAAGGGTGGGGTTTGGGGGTGGAGGGGAAGAGGAGTGTGGCAGACTGGAGGACAGAAAGAAGTGGGGAGCAATGGAGTGAAAGCGTTCCCCGAGAGTCAAGCAGAACCATGCCTCCCTCTCCTAAGAGAGGCAACCCCTGCCCACATCTCCTTTGTGTTCCTCAGCGAGGCAGCCAAGGCTTCCCTGCTCCCAATCCCATTGCGAACCCCCTTCAGCATGTTCTGCCTTCTTCTTAGAGTCATTAAGGATGCAGGACTAGTTTTGGATCCTACATGGCAAGAGGGAGGGGAGAGCGTTACCATTACGGTAATCATGGCACCCTGGCTCATGAACAATTAGATTCGCTTCCGAAGGTCTCTAGTCTTAGAGGTTTGCAGAGTCCAGAACCGGGGTGAGGGCAGGGGGGTCGTACAGCATGCCTTATAAAAATAGTGCGACTTCATAATAACGGAGACGGCTGCACCGTTGCTTCATGATACTACTTCGTGGCCATTAGGGCTGAATAAAAGACCCGCCTCCGCCCTCTCCCTCACTGTCTCCTCCCCACCAAGCGACAAAGCCAGCGGGCTGGGCGAGAGGACGCAGCGCCAGGCAGAGAAGGGAAGGGGTCACTTTCACAACTCCCGGGAACCGGCTTCAGAGGGGAACCATCTGCGGCGCCCACGACTCCCACGTTCCTGTCGAAGTTCTCCTTCGAAAGGAATTAGAAAATGCGGGTGAGGGAGGCGCAGTGAGACGTAAAAATCCTCCACCTGCTCTTTTTTTATTACTTTCACAGCACACTTTCAACACCTCGAATTCACCTGCAGTGGTAACTAGGTCAGCACGTAAATATGATTACCTGTATACGTTGAAATGTGGCTCTTGATAGGTGCAGAGCAATTTAGATGGGAGCATATATATATATATATTTTTTAACCTGGGCAAAATTGCTAAGCACAATAGAGATTTTACAGCGTGGGCGAGAAGAGTGCATTCCAGCGAAAGCAGGACACGTGATCTCTCCAACCGGAGAGATACAGTATTAGGAACTCGATTTTCTTTGTTCCAGGCTGAGCCTATGAGATGCTCAGCATCCCGCTTGCTTAAGTCCTCCTATAAGAGGGAAAAATATTCAAGTTGACGGGGTGGGTGGAGGGTATATGTG